TACCAATTAAAAGTATTTCTAGAATCTTTGGGGGCCCTGTGAGCCTAGAAAGAAATTCTTCCAAGTGGCAGTTTATTATTAGTTTTTTTGTTTGTTTGTTTTTTTCGAGACAGGGTTTCCCTGTGGCTTTGGAGTCTGTCCTGGAACTAGCTCTTGTAGACCAGGCTGGTCTCGAACTCACAGAGATCCTCTGCCTCTGCCTCCCGAGTGCTGGGATTAAAGGCGTGCGCCACCACCGCCCGGCCTTATTAGTAGTCTTGATATAGGATTTTTGTATCAAAAGATCAAAAGCTTAGCCTAGTCTAGCCTTGAATTTACAATCCTCCTGCCTCAGCCTCCTGACTACTAGGATTACAGGTATCAGCCATCATGTCCAGCCTCGACTTTACTTTTAATGCATTTGCCTCCTGTTTGCAACAAACAATAAATTTAAAATGGCTTTCAACAGTCCATTTAAGAATGATGAAGTATGGCAGGGCATGGTGGCTCACTCCTTTGATCCCAGCGCTTGGGAGGTAGAGGTAGGCAGATCTCTGAGTTCAAAGCCAGCCTGGTCTCCAGGAGAGCCAGAGCTACACAAAGAAACCGTGTCTCAGCAAACAAACAAACAAACAATGCCAAAAAGAATGATGAAGTCCTCCTAGTGTGGATGTGGCATCATGAAGTCCCTCCTTATCTGAGGAGCTATTGGTAAAATTGATGCTGTTATGGGAGACAAGAGTCTGGTTTTTATCCAGATATGTAGCCCTTGAGAGGCTATCCATGCTTCAGTAGATGGCCCCACATCCATGCACATACAGGCAACACTAACTGGACTCAGTAGATTTTTAAAAAAAAAAAAGTGAAAGAAGTTGGGAGGGAAAAATGGCGGGATGATATGTCGTGGAATATTATTTTAACTGGGCAAAGATGTGTTACCTTTGTTTGTGCTGTAGAATATCACTTTAACTGTGTAAAGGTGTGTTATGTTTGTTTATGCTGTATTTGTTTAACTATGTAAATTTGTGTTGCATCTGTTTCATCTTCCCTGCCTAAGGCACCTGATTGGTTTAATCAAAAAGCTGAAGGGCTGGGGCTGGAGAGATGACTCAGAGGTTAAGAGCACCGACTGCTCTTCCAGAGGTCATGAGTTCAATTCCCAGCAACCACATGGTGGCTCACAACCATCCGTTATGAGATCTGGTGCCATCTTCTGGTGTGCAGATATACATGGAAGTAGAATGTTGTATACATAATAAATAAATAAAATCGTTAAAAAAAAACCCTGAAGGGCCAATAGCTAGGCAGTGGAGGGATAGGCAGGGCTGGCAGGCAGAGAGAATCAATAGGAGGAGAAATCTCGGAGTGAAAGAAGAGAAGAAGGAAGATGTCCAGGGCCATAAACCAGGCAGCTGTCAGTCAGACAGACACAAGAAGCAGTGAAAATGAGAAATACAGAAGAAAAGTAAAAAGCCCCAAGGCAAAAGGTGGATAAAGAGAAACAGTTAATTTACATTAAAAGAGTTAGCCAGAAATGATCCTCAGCAAGGCCAAGCATTCATAACTAATAAGAAGTCTGCGTCTCATGATTTGGGAGCTGGTTGGTGATCTAAAAAAAAAAAAGTAACCTGGTACAATGGGATAGTAGAGGAACTGGAGTGAAGATGATGGGGGTAGATTTGATCAAAACACGTTATATGTGGGTATGAAATTATCAAACAATAAAAACGAATAATGACGTAAATAGACCTTTTTGTAGAGGAAAGGGGGTACTTTCTGGGACTCCCTGACAAAGCAGAGTCCAAATACATGAGGATACTCTGTGACCTCTATCTTCAGGGGGGAAAAAAAGCAAAGGGCAGAAGTCCCCAGCCTGAGGGCCAAGAACTTGGAGAAGTCCATGCCATTCCATGACTACCAAAGCTCTTGTCTCCCCCTCCACCCCTGCCCCATCCTATCTTCCCCCACCCTTTCCAGGACTGGGGAAGAAGTAGTTCCCAGAAATGGGAGGACTGCTTAAAGGCAGTTACTTCCTTGTGTTGTAGCAGCCACCTCATAGGGCAAGCATGGGCTCCTGCAGAGCTAGCCTTCAAGGACAGTTACTGTCTGTGGTTATCTGCATGGCCTCAGGCAGTGATGTCACTTATCTTCGCCTGTGACTTGATGTTATCAAAACATGAAAGTCTTCTGGTTCCACAAGGAGCAGAGCAGGTGAGCAGGGTAGGTTCTCTTAGGAAGCTGCTGCAGCATGCCTGTTAGAGCAAAGCCTAAATGCTTTCTGTTTGTTCATGGACATGCATGACCAGCAGCAAAGCAGGTCTCAACTATATCTTGTCCTTTCTGTCCTTGGCACCAGCATTGCTGAAATGGCAGTTATTGTTACAACAGCAAAACTCCATGGGATCTAGGTTTCAAAAGCAATCTAACAACCCAGGCATCCGGCCCTCATCTTCTGAACTCTGTCCTGGGATGTCTCCACTCGGTACTTAGCCTTCCACTTCCATCTCCTGGGACCTTGCCTTGGCCTTGGTAGTGACAATGACCTCACCTGCCTGTACCCTCAGCTTCCCTTATCTCCTTATCAAGAAACCACTGTCTTTGCTTTCTTCATTTTGGACTTGACCTCAAATATTGGCAACAGCCCTGGAGTGGAAAGCAATAATTCAGGATGGGCAGGGTGAATGGCCAAGAGTCCTTTGTATCAAAGTTGTTTGGAAACCCATGAGTCACGCACTACAGTCTCCCACCCCCCCACCGTGGCCTGCACAAGACAGTTCACTTCTGCTGTTACATCTTTGGACTTCAGACCTCGTTAGAGGCCAAGTCCTGAAAGTAGAGAAGTTGCTTTTCAGGGTCTCTCTCCACCATGCCTCCTTTGCTTTCTTCCTTACATCCCAACTTCTGACCTGGATCTGTCCTGTCTCAGAAGAAACAAACAATAAAAAAGAACTCAAACAAACAAAAACACACATCTCATTTGAGTAATTTTTTTAAGACTTTGCCCTAACCCTTTACTTTCTTAGTTTTCCCTTTCCACATCTTCTATCCCTAAGGGCAGGAGCTTGCTGATACAGAATTTTGTCTTCCCCAGGACATTCAGAGCAGCATTAACATGAATTTGTTGACACTAAATCCCAACAATGCACGGGCCAGCTCCCCCATCCCTCTCCCATAAAGAATGTCCTGAATTGGGTGGGTTTTCTAGCCACGGAAGGCTTCCGGGGTGCTGTTGTGTGCTCCTTTCATCATACCTGCCCCACAGCAACAAATGGT